ACGCTATTCAGATTACATTTTCAAAAGCTGCGAAAATCGACAATTATATCAAGTAACACAACCCTACAGGTTAGAATATTCAGCAAAGTTCTGACGATCCAGATATACCTCTGGAAATGTGGGCACTTACTGCCGATTATAGCTATAACTGGTTTTTAAATGCCTTGAAATGTTTATACATTCTAGTAGAGCTCGGCGGCAAATTTCGGCCGAAAAATTGTCATCAAATGGGAATATCTTCTTCCGGGAGACATGGAATGTGTGAAATTATGGGTCAGAAACATCTGAGCTTGAGCTATTTTCTTCAACATCCTGCATCATCCTCGCACCATTCAAAATAAAAGATAAATTGATGCGATAAACTGCAATTTTGAAATAAACAGTACATATGCTGACCAGAACTTCATTCTCATTTTGGCCTGCCAAAGCAGTTAAGTGATCCGCATCCGGCAGCACTCTCGCAATCGCAATTGGTTCCAGAGGAGGAAGCTGAAACAGAGATCAGATAATAGTGAAATGACCAGATTCCGACGAAGAGCGGTACTTCCACATCTTCATTGTTCTTGTTCGAAATAACCCTCATGTGTTGTTCCCTTATAGCGGATTTTCATCTACTGTAACGCTAAACGTGGCATGCCTGGAACTAACACTAGGAAGCCGTTTGCTTTCTGAAGTACCTCAAAATTGATTTTGAAATTTTTGTGGTCTAGATTTGCGTTCCTCCAGTTACTGTCGCGTTTCTGTGATGAAATCATCTGCATTCATCTGCTTGGACCGTGCCCCTTTCAACAGAGTTTCCAGTCTTTCGTCTAATTTTCTGAATTTTTATGCATTTTGTACTGTGTGACAGCAGCACAGAACACATATTGTAGCGGGGTTGTCTGTGCGTACGTGTTTGTGTGTGTGGTGTGTGTGTGCGTGTGTGTGTGTGTCCACAGCAACTTGTCCGCAACTTTTAACTCGGGAATCACAAAAGCTAGGAAGCTGAAGATTTCGGCCCACCCACATGTGACCCCGTAAATTTGAATTCAGCTTCCCGGAACCTGCGGATAACCCATACGGCCCAACGGAAGTTTTGGCGGGTAAATTATTATCTCGAGAACGATAAAAAAGCCAGGAGGCTGAAATTTTAACGTGGCACCTTCCGCCCACATACGACTCCGCAAATTTTTGACGTCCTCTTGGAAGCTTTGTCGAAAAAAATCGTCATCTCAGGAGCCAGAAGAGTCAGAAGGCTGAAACATTTCAGGAGGATGTTTCTTGCCTAAGCAGGGGCTTCACAAACTCTAATTTAGTTCCTAAGCATGTCCAGCTCTCACGTACGAACATCTGAAAGTTTTGTCGCAAAAATCACTCGAAAGTCAGAAAATTAGGGAACTGAAATTGTGGAAGGTTATTCACCCTTCGAAGTTTCAAATTCAGCTTTCACGTACCAGTGCGTGAAATTTCCAGTGCAAAGTTTCGCAAATTACAGAACAGACAACATTTCAACTATTTTCGCATAGATCAAAGTGCAAAGCGGTGGGAATCATTAGAAGGCAATCATTCGGTGGACGGAATTGCACAAAACACATGATCGCGCCAGCTGTTCTGGTGCGCGCCGCTATTTATTTCATTTCGTGCAGAAACCTGTGAAAGCTGGGGCCTATGTAATAAAAAAAGGTTGCCTGTTTTCTCCTTTCCTATTGTTTTTAACGTTGCTACGCATCGCACATCCTACACATGGTGTACAAAATGCAATCGAGTGGTCATCCCAAACAATGCGTATACCTTAAAACAATTTCAA